ACTTTGCTGATACTTTATTCAGATCCAGCTATTCCCTTGAAATTGCTGATAACGTCTTAAATTTACTAAAATGAAACCATGAAAACCTGGATCTTCAACCAGGCCTTCAGTGAGGGAGAGTAAAAACCCTCGCTTCATTGCACTTCTATTGCCATTTTTATCTTTATAATTTAATACATTATTATTAGTATCTATGTTTAATTGATTTTATTGTAATTTCTTTGATTGTTGTGAGCTGCCTAAAGTCACTGAGAGTCATGTGACATACAAGTTTGATAAATTATTACTATTAAATCAGAATCATTTGGACCTAAATAAAATTATATGAATTTATTATTTATTTACAGAATATTATTTATTATTTAATATTATTATTTAATAGCACAGAATAATGTGAACAAAACCTTTCCTCTTTTGTCATTTTTATGCAAAGGTGTGAGGCAAACAAACAAACAAAATTATATGAAATTGTGCTTACACAATGAAGCACTTCTAGTTCCTCTGCATGTCTCCCCAAACTACTACTGATGTTCAAGAAAACATGTGGAAAGCAACAGATACTATGAGATAGAAAAACTAAAAGAATTCCATAGGGCTGCCTTAAAGAAAGGCCTTGCTGTTTGCACAGGCAAACTCTGGATCCAAACCACTGTCACTGGTGACAAGAAAATAATCCCCATTTCTGGCATCTGACCAATCCTGAATTTTTAAAAAGTTTTCTTAGAATTTAAAATGTAAAAATTAAATTGTAATAAAAATAAAGTTCATTTTACAAGGGAAGCTAAACTGTTTAACAATAGTAAATGGGCAAAGCTGGTTCCAGATCTGATGATTTATCCAACATGTATAGGAAGTCCTGCATATCTGGAGGAAACTAGCTTAGGGAGGGTTTTTTCCCATTCTTATATGATCCACATGATGCCAGTAGTTATTTTATTTTATTTTATTTATTTATTTATCAAACTTATCCCCGCCCATCTCCCCCCAATGGAGGACTCTGGGCAGCTTACAACAGATTAAAACAATAAATG